GGGGGGGGGGGGGGGGGGGGAAGGGGGGTCGCGTACTGCTTTTTTGTCTGTATGCCCAAGGTCAAAATAACATTGAAGTCAAAGGTCAAATACGTATACATTGTTCACATCATAACTGCCGACTTGCCTAAGATGACTCGATAAATGTAAAGGTACAGTTTATTTTATATAAATGCAGGATGGCGAGGCAGTGTGTGGCGTACAATTATTATTAGGCTTGATCAGATTGAGGTCAAAGGTCAAATTCATTTTTCTAAAGATAACTTCATAACTAGCTGAAGTTCAAATGTCAAATTAAACGTCCGGGTCATAACATCTGACTTGCTGAAGATATACAAATGGAATTTAAGGGATACGTGTAGAATAGAAATGCAGTCAGTAACATACTATTTTTAAGTCTAAACCACCAGGGTCAAGGCCACATTGAGGTCAAAGGTCAAATTCAATTTCCTGGGCATACTGAGTGAATTGCTGAAGATACATGTAGCTCTATAAAATAGAATGACAAGGTGTTGTGTTGTAACCTGTACAATTTTGGAGCTAAGCAATGTTACAAATAACAGTCAGTAAGCAATATGCATGCTTGTACACACACACAACATTTTCTAGCATAATTCATAATTTTTACTGATTTTCCTGTTTTCCAATATTGATTCCTTTAGCTCTCCCTCTGATAAATGCCACAACATTATGTATGTTAAGTACAATTTTTAAAAAAGAATGGTGATGAAAATGAGGATTTAAGGTTCTCATATACCGCTTTATCATAACAGTTCACAATTATTATTCGTGGTTATTGGACCTTTGTAACCAGCCAATATATTTCTCAACACCCTGAGGAACATACAGCTGGTGCTGTCATTTAGGTGCTCACAGTTAGCATTCAATAATTCAAGCACAGCCCAACCACGTACACATTTACAGCTGAGTAAACTTGAACAAGCAGAGTAAAGTATCTTGTTCAAAGGTACAACACATTTCCATGAAGGGACGTGAACCTTGGACCCTTCTGTCACTAGCCAGGCGTCTTACCACTAAACTACCGTGCCTTTACAAAACCTGTCAAAATTTGTTTTTACCACAGTGTCTGACTTAACTTTGCCCATGACATTGCATGCATATATTTCAACAACAAATTTTCCTTTAAATGACTCACTCAAAATGCTAGTACAAGAATGTTTGAAGAGATTTTGGGCAATTATTGTATGGATCATCTCTGTAAAAAGGGGATTTTCAGTTTTAAAGCATGAAAGTAGTATTGTACATGTATGTTTAGAATGTAAGGAGTGGCTCACAAGCCTGTGAGGTTGCCTTAAGGACTAGTGCTTTTGAAAAGCTTTTTTTTTCTTGCCCTGATACTCCATATATAATGAATAAATGAAGATCTTCTATATGTATGTTTCTATTCTTGAAATATCCCTGAACCAAAAGGATTTATATTTGTAGAAAAGACCAGTGTTGCCCCCAGGGCAGAGTGGCATGTACACAATATGGAAAATGGGATAAGGTTTTAAAACACAAGATTTAAGTTTTAATTGTTGAAGTGAATTTGGAACCTTCTTTGATAAGAAAAACATCCTCCCTTGGTTTAAGTAATTCTGAATGAAGGCTTCACCACGACCTGATGGAGGTACAGTTTGTAATGCACTGTGACCAAAAGATATATCTCTGTTTGCATTTCAAATCTAGATGCTAACCTCAGGACATATGATTGTTAGTTGTCCAAGGAGAGGAGAATGTCTATTGATTTCTGGCATTATTCCACAAAGACTTTTGTAGCTGAACGTATCATTTTCTTGTCTGACCCGAACATCAGAAAAAAACCCGCACAGAGCTAGAACTTTTATATGAGACACTTAGATAACTGTGGGGACACTTTTTCTTTGGTCGGTGAAATAGCTCGGTCACGTTTTAAAACATGAATTTTTATGTTTAAGATGGTCCATTTTCAACGAAATTCAGTATACTCGTACAAATTAACATGCTTCAGGCTGAGTTCGATCTTGCTTAACAGGTTACAAACTTTTGATTAGCTAATTGATTTTCATATGCAATAACTTTCCTAATATTTGATCCATTTCAACAAAATTCGTTTTGCACATACATGTCTCAGGTTGAGTTCCATCTTGAATGTGTGATCTCCGCATATTTCTGCACACTTAATTTAACTTGTACATTATAACTGACTTATTGGTTTCTGTGTAATAATATAACGGCCCTACCAAAGGGTCGATTTCAACGAAATTCGTTATGCACATACATGTTGACATATCTAGGGCTGATTTCTATGTAAAAGTGGTCCAGTGTTGTGCATGTTTTGTTTCGCGCAAGGCAATTCAACCATCTTGGATTTTGATATGTCAAGTTTGTTTTCAATATTTTTCAAGAAGTACTACAGAAATTGATCGAAATTAAGACATAACCATGCAGATTGTTATTGCAATGAGTCATAACTTGGATTTTATTCAGATAACTCGAGTATGTATTCTTAATTATGTGTCATGTGTAAACTATTCTTAAAATGTTTAATAAAACAGTTTTTCTATACAATTATTGATGAATTTGCAAACACTCGCCTTAAGATAAGAAAATGAAAAAAGCATTGTCTTCGATAATGGTGTACAATTGTTATCTCTTAAACAAAGTCTTTCTTATTCTCAATTACAAACTGTTGAACATAATTGAGGAAATACAGATGAACCTAGTGTAAATAACGTTTCTTATTAGTCATTTGCGTAGAAACCTGTGCGAAAACAATAACTTTCTAAATACATTTTGAATTATTCAGTGGCAATTAATGTTACGGTAATAGTAATATAACATTTACTTCTTTCATTTACTTTTATGGAGATCTAACATTGTCTTTGAAAGAATAGAAGAAGTTTCCTTCCCAGTCAATCTTCGACCTCTTTTCATGTATTATATATTGTGTCACCAACTTCGTCTTGTCTGTGATTATGTATTAATAGATGTTGCTAAGTTGGAATAGCTTTGAAACAACAGTAGCATTATTGTTCTAGCTGAGAAAATACATTTAAATGAAGAATTAAATGTTTTTATATATTTTGTATACCGCTACCCATCAAATAAGAAAATCAGTTTAGCTTGTTCCTTAATTTCGACGTTATCATAATTAACTAAGTAATATGGTTGACACTCGAATAAAATGATTGTTCTTTTTCTATTTTTAGCCTCCAAGACGCCATTGACAATGGTGATGTGGCGACAGTGCGGCAGATCCTCAAGCAGAACACATGTTCTCAACAGGAGCTCAAGAACTGTCTCTTCTTCAGTTGTGGTAGTGGTAAAGTGGAATGTGCTGCATCCATCTTAGAAACTGCCATCTCGCCAGATCTTCACAATGAGGAGGAGTTCACTCCCCTTACCCTGGCAACCAGAGGGGGGCACAGTCGTATGGTTGATCTCCTTATCCGATGGGATTGTGACGTGTCAATTCCAGGGGGGCCACTGACCAACTCCCCTCTACACTATGCATGTAGCGAGGGTTACAACGAATCTTGTAAACTGCTAGTCGAGGCGGGTGCTGATCTGAATTCAAGGAATGCCAGGTCAGACACCCCTCTCATTCTTTCTTCCATGAACGGTCATATAAGTATTGTTAAGTACCTTCTAGAGAAGAATGCATCTGTGAGGCGGAGAGGATATCACGAGAGAACCGCCCTCCACTGTGCAACTGAGAACGGGCATCTTGAGATCTGTCGTCTACTCATCAACGGCAATTCTGACCTAGAGGAGGAAGATACGTTTGGTAATACACCTCTTATCTGTGCCGCCGAGAAAGGGTATGTTGAGGTGTTGAAACTACTTCTCGGTTACAAGTGTGAGGTGAACAAGATGAGCCACAGTGCAGCCACAGCTTTACATTTTGCCGCTCAGCATGGAGATCTGGACTGCTGCCGACTTCTCCTTGATGGTGGGGCAGAAATCGACGCTCCGGACATCCGTCGGTTTACGCCGCTCATGATGGCCTCCCTCAACGGCCATGATCATATTGTTGATTTTCTGGTACTACGGAAGTGTAATGTAAACATGGTAGCATATAATAAAAGGACAGCGCTGCACCTAGCGGCAGAAAGGGGAAATCTCAAGTGCTGTATCTCACTTCTCAAAGCTGGTTCGAATATTGACGCGCAGGATTCATTGGTTTGTACGCCGATCTATAATGCTGCCATCAAAGGTCAGGCTGCCATTGTACGATTTCTGATCGACAGCGGGGCAGACCTGAACAAGCGGCCGAGCAGTGGAAATTCTATTCTCCACTTCGCTGCCACAGGAGGCAGTCAAGAGTGCTGCCAGGAACTCCTCAATACCGGCTTTGACATTAATGCTCAGAATCGGGACGGTGTGACACCCTTAATATCCGCTGTTAATGGAAAGCAAATTAAAGCGGCAAAATTTCTCCTGGACAACGGATCTGACACAAATTTTCGTGATCTTCATGGAATGACGGCTCTGAATGAGGCAGTCTTCTATAACTGTCCGCAGCTTGTCGCTCTCCTACTGGAGTACGGAGCCGATCCCGATTTGGAGGACTATGCTGGGACTCTTCCCCTTTGGTTTGCTGTAGATGGCTTCAGCAACGAATCGGTGAAGCTGTTACTTGGCGCTAACTGTAAATTCGACATACAGTCAACACTTAGCAGCTACTGTGGGCCATGCAACGCAATCGAACACTCGGTTCATAAAAAGAAGGCCCGTGTGCTGAATTGGCTGGTTTCGGCGTACTGTGAAAACGCCGTTAACGTTCTAAAAGAACACTTGCCAAAATTAGAAAAAATGACGTCGCTAAATGCCAGTATGATAGAGCTTGTGCGTGAGGTGACATCGTCGCCTAGATCACTAATGGAACACGCCAGGAAGGAAGTTCGTTCGACGCTGGGTAAGGGCACCGGTATAACGGAGAAAATTGAAGCGCTCAAGGTGCCAAAATGTATTCAAAGATATCTAATGTTTTCCGATATGGTTAACGACACTGAATCTTCTAAGTGACATAATAAGTTCAGTAACATATATTTGTACGCTTGGTAAATCGGTATGAACCAGAACATACTTTTATAAAGCATACAATGTATGAGAGGAGACTTAACTGTTTAATATGTAAACCAAGGATACATTGACGTTGTATTGGTTTGTGTTCAATGTCACTCTTACCTTGAGGATACCCATGGAACATGTTTAAATGACACTGACTGTCTTACACTGATTGTCCTTACAGACAGGTGTATGCAAGGACCAGAATACTTCTTTTTAATGGATATTACCAGATTTTCGTGTAATATATTTTATTTGGGCTCAAGCAATGGAATTGATTGATTGCGTTATTATATACAAACATACTCATTTACTATGCTTTCTTCCCCTCGGAGTAATCCGTCAACCGGACATGTGATGTCCGAAACATATTGTTTTTGATTATAAGAGTCAAAAGTTTCTGTTGTCAAATCAAATCCAACGTCCCGATTTGGCTGATGTTACTTTTTATTGAAATACAATTTGCGATGTAGTTAAGAAAAATATGTAAATTAGACAAAACTTAGTAAACTGGAAAATACTTACTTATTTGTGATGTGGAGAGTAGTATTGCATGTTTAAATTTACTAATTTAAAATACTTTCTCATTTTCAAACTGTCTATAACTATTAATCTGTCCTAAGGGATGAAGGTATTATAAAAGTAGCCTTACCAAGATTATCCAGAGTATTTTCGATTTTTCTGTCTCTCTTCATTTTGTTTTATATTTGTCAGACAAAGATATAGTTTGTTACGATCATGGAATATAGGGAAAAAAATAAGATTTTTATCGTTGTAAGAAAAGTATCGCTGAAGTAGTTTTCAGTTGGTCACAAATTTAAATCATTTGAATTAAGTAGCAGCTTCTGCCAAACATTTTTTGTAAAAATATCATACCTCTGATTTTTAAGCCAAATGCTATTTTTTTCAACATCGTATTACAAACACGTTTCCTTCGACCGAAGAAGAATGCTATTTTAGTAAGCTTTATTTGCCAAAACATCGATAGGTATACTGCAGATCTAGAATTTTGTTACTTTCATTGAATCGGACATTGATTTTTAGCAGATTTTTATCTTGCAATAAACGATGCAGAGATGATAAACTGAGTACGGAAGTGTTTTAGCTTGAATTGAGTCTCAGTGGTGACAAGAGAAATATTGAGACATAACCTGTTTGTAATTATTGTCAAGAAATGATTTAATCCAATACGTTAAAATTAAATGGCAAATATCATAACCTATAATTAGCTGAAACAAGAAATCGGTAGCAGCCAAATATTTGGCGGGTACAAAATGTTGTATTGCCAAAAAGGTTGTCGGTCTCAAAGTGTGATCTGGCAAATGACCAGTGTCGGTGATGGACACTAACAGTCTATACAATCGCCAAATAGTGGGTCCGTAGTGACCCAGCAATGACCAATAGAAATTTGGACACAAAACAGTCCCGGTGATTGTTGTTAATTTTTTTAGATAGGGGCAGTGTCTCTGTTTGTGCGAATGGGTCAGGTATATATTACTTTTGTTCTGTTCACATTCCTTGATATCTCAATTTATCTAATATATCTTTTTTCAGTATCATCGATACATATGACTCATAAAGTAGGACACATATTGAACTATGATGTTAAGTTCATATGCAAACATCACATGATCCTTCTTCATATCTTTGTGAGAACCGTCAGGTGGTGGTCAACTTTGGTCCCAACAATGTCCGACCCAAACACACTGCACATGTCCATCAGATGATTTCAATCGCAAAAAAATGGCCCTTTGTTTCTTTAGTACGTAAAAGAATTCAGTCTGTACATTGATGTAGATAATACATCCTTTTCTGCAGATCTAGTAGTTGCTTCTGGCGGGAGTGTCAAAGTGCTTTTGAGGTGTCGTTTGTTCGGCTTTATTACTCCGATGAGTTTATTTTGTTAAAAGAAATGTAATATACAATTATGATTTTTATTGCGATAGAAGTTAAAATATATCCACCGTATCGTGCCTATTGTTTTTTCCACATACTAATGTTGACCTTTCCAAATAATCACTGGCCCTCAGTATTGCATTGTTCCTATAATTTGTTCCCAATTCGTATATATGTATATATATCAATGACCGCGAGGTTATGACACCAAAGTATGAAAAAAACACTTTTCGAATTATAGAAACAAGGGGGAAAATACAAAGTAAAGAATTCTATGGTAACCCTTAAACTATACAAGATTTATAAGACCAGGTGTTCTGCACGGTTAAGCCTGTTCTGCTTCTCCGACTTCACCCGCCATTAAATCTAGGTCAAATACAAGAAATGAAAATCTAGGTCAAATACAAGAAATGAGAATCGTGGTAATGACAATAAAAGGACAAGGAACACTGAGCATATTATTGTGTCCCCAAACTGCTGACCTTTAGCAGTGTTGGTCCATAGACTAATACATAATGTTTCAGTATCGATGACTGTTCCCGTTCATCAAACTGTAATGAAATGGGGCGTGCTGATGGGAAGATGTCGGATAATCTTAAGGGTTTGAAATATAAAAATAAGTGTTAACTCTTTGAATCTGCCAGTTCTGGTTTTGTGTAATACCCGAATATTATCTGTAAAGCTCCAATCAATAGTTTTAATTTTCCAATAAGTTTTCGAAGATATATTGTCAAAAAAGGAGCAAAGTATTTGTTTACCGTCAGCATTAGTTTAAGCATAATAATTTCAATCGCACATTCACCAGTCGAAGTAACGTCATCGTCTGTTGCTGAAATGTGTAGATATATTTCTTTCGCGTCAGAATGATGAGAGAAAATCGACCAATGATATTTCAGTATATTGAAAATAAAAAAACCATTCAATTGTTATCTAAACGGTCAAATTTATACAAATATTTTTAAACGTTCGGTCTTACTAAAGTTTGAATAAAATAGCTGCTTAAGTATTGAAATTGAATTGGATTTATTGATCGAAAATCATGTATATATCATGTACGCTTCGTAGGTATGCAAAAATGTATCATTCGTAAATTTGCCCTTATGTACGACCCCTTCCACAACAAATGTTCTGCCAAGTAGGGTACGATGCGTTTTAATATGTATTTGTCTTTGTTTAGAGGGCTTCCAGCAACAGCAATTACCCTGAATCCAAAGAGGCTGAACTTCATGGTTTCTGGAGACGGCATGTGTATTATTGTCACAGTTTTGTGTAGCGTTGTAGCAATTGAACACTGTTACATATATGTATTAGCCTTTTATACACACTTGAAGGCAGTGTCGGTACACTGTTACATAGATGTATTAGCCTGGTATACACACTTGAAGTCAGTGTCGGTACACTGTTACATAGATGTATTAGCCTGATTTACACACATTTCGCCAATCTGTCTTCGTATGTGATATATTGCATTGACAAAAACTGACCTTTAACACTATTGATGTACGTAACTATGCCTTGTTGATATAACATTTGCATTGATGTACGTAACTTACCTTGTTGATATAACATTTGCATTGATGTACGTAACTATGCCTTGTTAATATAACATATGTACAGTCAAGAAGGTTTTGCGCGTCCCATTAATAGATATATACTTTTCCAACAGATAGTACTAAAAGGTAACTCCCCAGTTAGTGGTTTCTATTTAATTTGTCTGTTGGGAAATATTGGTGAGTTCGTTATTTAGCCTGATACAGAACGGTGGTGTCCCATGGCTATAAATTGACCCTTGGTATTCAGCAATTGCAGTAGTCAAATAGCAGCTTCCCTTAACTTTGAAGGACCAAAGGACATGTCAAATAAAAACGTCCCTCAATACCCCAGATTTTGGGGACCCATAGTTCCACTGAAAGCACTGTTGTCATAGACTTATCCGTATATAGCTTAATAAATCTAGTGAGACAATAGATTTGCGCATATTTATTGTTTACATGCCAAAGCTGGTATTTTATGATTGTCATGGTTAAGTACAACATTACCAGCTATCATTTGTGTATAATAACCGGGTGTTTTTTTTGCTCAGTGTTTGTATACACACTTGGTTTATTTGATTTATGAGATAAAGATATTCAGTCTTAAATTAACATGCAAGTCTTAAGTACGCCGGATATATATCGCATACAACAGTAGAAGAGTTTTTTCTCTTTAAAACAATATTGTGATGATGAAAAGATGATGATGAAAAGAAAATATTACAAACTTTCCAAAGTAAATTTTCAATGTGTTTGCGGTATCAGAATTCGCAACATCGTACCTGTGTGTAAACACCGCCTCTGTGTGACGTCAGTGTATAATAAGTCTAAATATAGAATCAAAACGAGGGAGTATTTCGTAAAGTGAGACTTTAACGCTACTGAACGCAGAGACACATTCAGTTTAAGGATATAATCAATTATTTACACATGTTTAATGCATTTTTTGTAATTTCATACCTTCATTTAACTTAAGAAGCCTTCTACTTGCATTACCATATTTATTTTATTCTTCCACGAAAGCATTACGATGTTTCCTTATTGATGCATGATAATAGACTAGATGTCTATAGCGTATACGATTATGGCGTGTTTATATACAGAATTTGATTATTTATAAACAGCTTCTTAGCTTATTGTTGAGGTGTTTAACTTTATATTTATCTTATATATACTTAAAACCTGTGTACCACCAACCCAATGCTATCAATATCAGAGATAAACCTCGACCTTAGTCGCTGTGTTTATACATTGCTCTCATACATTGTCTATCAAATGTTCATAAAGCTATTCAGAAGCGGTATCTTGGTATCACGACCAGTTTTAATGATGTCCATCCTTTTTCAAACGTTTCGTGATTTACATGAACTTTACGAGGTATTCACAAAGTGATAGTCGTTCTTAAAGAAGGATCCATGTTACACATTTCTCTTAGATGGTTCAAAGTCATTCTGTAGCTATCTGAATTAATGTATATTTTGTATACTTGTATTATACTTCACCGATAAGTATAGTTGTCAACGTCTGTGAAACAGGTCACGGGGATGAATACGTTTACTTACACATTTAGTTGCCTACCACATACATTAATAATAGTATTTTTAGTGATATCAGTCGCGTGAAAGCAAGATACATTAATTATAGCCTGTATAGTCTTTTGTTTTGTTTTCCAATGGCGCTCATTCATGAAGATGACTGTCAGTACGCGTAGATGGCCATCAGAATATTTATATGCTATTCATGCTTATTCTAATAAATTGTTACCATCGATCGACTTTTTTGAAAACTTTCCACTTTAAATTGCACATAATATTTGTTCGTGCATTTGAGTCGGCTTGAACAATTGCGTTTTGTTATATCTGTCTTTTGCCGTTTGGTACTGCATTGCCTAGCGTGAAGCTCACATATAGCAATCGGTATCATTAGCTCTAGGATACAATCAAGATTTTACTTTTTTCTTGGAATGAAGTTTGCAGCTGTGTAATAAGAAATATGAGTTTGACAGGCGAGATGAATTGTGATTACGTTGGTGTTGGTGGTGTTATAGGGATAGTCTGTGTTGTCCGAGTGGTCATTATATTGTTAAATTATATTATTTAACTTAGTTACTGTCTGTGTTATTGTGGACCTTTAATTTCGATAATTCGTATATACTTTACATTCTATGTATCACTTTAAGCATCAGTATTACAAATGTTCCAAAACCAACTTCCGTTTGACTTATCCTGTTCATATTCACAACCTCTTGTACAGAATAATTACATCTTGTATTGGATTAGGTAACCGACGTATGTAGAATACAGAAAAGGGGAAGGCAGATATAAAATCCTTCGTAACGTTACATGTACTAATTTACAATTTTCGGCTACAGGAGATAATATAAACTAACGTAGTATTTCATGTAAACGATAACAGAATAAATTCCAGATACAAGGCTACGGCCCGACTCGAGGACAGACAATCTACCTACCAGCAGCGTCAACCACATTGTAGCGGGAAAAACCCCACTAAAAATACTAAGTAAGCGGTATGTATCGAGCAATACAGACGTTTGAGCAGACGTAATAATTAAACTTCTACATATACCAAAGTCCAGTCAACGTGGACACTCGTCTTGCAGAGACCCGTTACCTTCAAGTCAGAGACTGTCCTGATATCCGTTACCTTTTAGTTACTGTTCTACTGACAGCAGTGATCCCTAACTTTAAAAAAAAATACCACTCTCTACTGAGACGACCGTAAATCATTCAGATCCCGAGTTACCTGTTCTTGTATCTCTCCTTGAGCAATCAGTTATTTGACTCCTGGCTTTTGGAAGAACTGCAATATGTGTCTTGCACCTGATGCAATTTTTTTTTATTTTTATTTTAAAGAACAAAAAAATATCCAAGAAAAATATGTTATTATTATACATATCGAAATGAGGAGATAATTTGTTAACAAAGAAACACTATTAAACAGTAAACCTATTTACTGTTTTACCTCCCTTGGGACACGCTAAAACTATCCATGGGGACACGCTTATACTTACCACTGGGACAAGGTATCACATTAGGGACACGTTACAACTTAGCACTGAGGCACGTTATTACTATAGGAACGCGTTACAACGTATGACAAGGACACGTTATCACTTACCAAGTGGTAATGCTTCGACTTACCACCTAGTCTCGCTTTCTCTTACAAAATGTACCTCGACAGCATGCTTGCATTTACCACTGGGACACGCTACCTCTCAGTAAAGGGATAGGGCACAAGCTAACACTAACGAATTCAAAGGGACACGTTATTACATACCACGGGACAAGTTACATACGACTTACGACGGGGACACGCTCCCACTTACGACTGGAACGTGCTACAAGAGTTAAGGATGTGTACCGAAATTAGTTCAAATTTCAAACCTTCGTAGTGATACTGTAATGAATACTGAGTACTTTGAGAGTCAAAAAGGAAAATATGGAGTGCCAGTAGGAACAAGAGTAGTTTTATATCCCACATCTATGTTGACTAAAAGTGTTCTCTTGATTTGGGACTTCTTCACTATTATCATGGATGAAGAAGGCGATTTATGATCGAATTTATGATTGGTCAAAATAGGAAGACGTACCGCGTAATTCATTGGTAAGATAAAGTGGGGTTTTTTTTCGGGTAGAGAAAAGGCTGTGTCAAGTGGTCTCAAATCTGATAGGTATATGTACCGGATATCGGTACACTTGAATATAGTCCTAATCTTTATACTCCTGATTGAAATCGTAAGTTTTGCTGCAGATTAATCCCGAAATGGGTATATTGACAGCTTATGTTAACTCTACCGTGTGACAAATTGGGACATGTGCACTTTCCTGCTGCTTCAATGAGTTGACGTAAACTGTACAGGTGGTGACGTTGCTGTATATTAATTCGTCTTTTTGACCTTGGCCAGCTGTAACAATGATCTTGTTTTGTTAAAAAGTCGTAGGCATTTATTAAGCTGAGTACATGTTTTTATTTGTTATTTATTGCCTTATTATATAAAGATTTCAATTGGCAAAACGGTTCATGCAAAATGATCAAACACAAACCTATATAGTTACACGAAGATATAGTCATACCCATATAAATATCGCTGTAAGAGAAACAAATTCTATATCACACATTACCCACATATATACAGAAAAGTACTCTTCATAAAATCATTCAAATTAAAAATGATGTATGCAAAATAAAATATACAATGTTCCACACATTAACTAAATAACACGTAAATGGAGACCGCATATACATTACCACAAACATGCAGAATACTGCGAATGGGGGATTTTTCATTTTGGGGAGATGTCATATATCTGTTTGATTTGATTAACTTTACGACAGACTGTTTGTTAAGCATCCGTACATATTCACATACTGACAAACGTATGACCATTTTTATGTAATCCTATACGTTTATCGATATCTTAACCTTTACTTAAATTTTGGTCGTTTTGAATGTTAAGCCCTTATATTTGAGATAATCAGTACATATTATTATCTGTGTCATGCGGTCAGTACTGCTCTAGTGTAAATATGCTGGTCAAGCTCGATCACACCGATTCAATAAAACAGTTCATCAACACATATATGTATAACTTGTTTGGAATGAAATAGATTAATCTTTTAAGTACACTCAATTACGACCGATTATAATCCCGTAAACAGTTCGGTGCCACCAAACAGGTATCGATACATATCAAGCAGTCCTACTTTTGTACAGTATTAATCTGGATCTAATCTCCCGGTATGCGCACTTAACTTGCATAGTCACTTGTTATACACAACTCGCCGTGGTCAGATGAGCTTTTCTCATTCCAAAACAAGCTTTTTTATAACCTGGATAAGACTTTCAGCCTCACCTTGTTATTGTTTATTCAGGGGACATTCTGGCGATGTGTACAGTTAAACAAACATGCTGATGTTCTTCTTGTGGACAATCAGTACATGACGCTGTAGGTAAGATGATTGTGTACATAATACAATTTTAATTAAAGTACATATAAGTAGATAGCGCCCCTGTTTAACATAGAAACATAGCGATTTAGTTCATGTTTTACTGTTTAATTTATTGAAAACAAGGCTACGTACATGTTTATAGCATTGAACACTTCCATTGTCACAAGCACAATCATGATAGCCGTCCTCACGCATTTACGTTTTCTTTTTCAGACGAAGATTTACAAGGACATCCATGTACGCAAGGTTCCTCTCACCGTTCTGTAACGGTGGATAGTTTGAGTTTACCCAACTTGTGTAGAACGTCGGTGGCGTCATGTCAGGGGATGTTCAGAAGGTGTTACCGAAGCTCGGAGACAAGCGTTTGGCTTTGGCAGGAAGACAATCTCATCGAACCCGCAAATTAACATCAATTGTTAACGAAAAACTTAAACGAAAATACAAAACATATGAAAAGGTAGTCGACAAAAATGCTAAAAGCTTCGAATACAAATCGTGGCAAAACACCATGCCTATTAAAGACACAATGCTACGCATTAGAGGAGCTCAAAAATGTCTAAAGAAACGACGTGAATCCGTGTTATTGGAGGAGGATCCCGAAAACAAAAAGTTTGGGATGTATGATGGAATTTCTTTGGATACTATGAAGTATGAAATAGATAAAATCCACCAGGACGCTCATCCAAGGGTCAGGCGGCTTCGGAAAGTTGAACGACTTCTAGAGAGCGGAAAACATGACGGTCGTCTGGTAAATTATGATGAAATAAAAGTCTCCTTAGACGCTATCTTAAACCGACCCTCATTAATGCGTAAAAATGAGACAAAGTTTGGTATGGAGGGCTTTAATGCTTACATGCGTCCCGTTAGTGCTCACTCGTCTCCGAACACATTTTCCTTTGACAAGGGGTCCCATAAAGCCAAACTGCGGCTTCCACCTCTCGTCGTGAGCCGAGAAAACTCAAACCTAGGGGCAGGTTTCGACCGGATCAAGTCAATGTCACTTCCCACCTTGTTTAGTGATGGCAGGTCAAGAACATTTGCATTTGATGCTAAATTTAAGCGTAAATTTAGCACTTTTCGTAATTAATGACCTTCTGGAACATATCTTGGATGTCCTATGTACCAACATAAGATTATGAGAAAAACTCAAGGCCATGCTGATCCTATATATTCGATATATACTCGCTTGACTTGACCCTTAAGGTCGTATGGTTAACCGGTGTTCTGTGGCTACACTTACGCTATCATACAGATGCTATTAAAGTGACATGGACGTAAGGTTGACACATTGTATGATTAGGTTATATAAAACCATTCCACGCGTTCTGTAATTTAAAACCATCATTATTAAATCATTGAAACTTGCCCATAATTTAATTCAATCTTATAAGTTACTGATAACAGTTTTGACGGTCTACGGTAGTGTGATTTCAGTCTTTGCGAATAGATTACTTATAACACGAATAGAGCTTACCTTGTTTCCGCAATTATCTGCGCAAATGTGTTGTAAAGACATAGTCATTGACAACGTATTTTAACATTCTTGTACATGTAAATGTATTGAAGTGCTGGAAATCATATTCGTACCTGAATACTTACAATGTACTTTATATATTGTACCTGCTTGAAATGAACAGTTTAATTTCATAAATCTACTATTCTATGTGTTCCCTACACGTTTACAGAGTGTATTAAACATGAATTCAATGTGTATTCTACCAGTAATTAACGTGTATTCTACCAGTAATTAACGTGTATTTTACCTGTAATTAACGTGGTTTCTACAAGTAATTAACGTGTATTCTACCAGTAATTAACGTGTATTTAACCTGTAATTAACGTGTATTCTACTAGTAATTGACGTGTATTTTACCTGTAGTTAACGTGTATTTTACCAGTAATTAACGTGTATTTTACCAGTAATTAGCGTGTACTTTACCTGTAATTAACGTGTATTTTACCTGTAATTAACGTGTATTTTACCTGTAATTAACGTGTATTTTACCAGTAATTAACTTGTATTTTACCTGTAATTAACGTGTTATGTATGTAACAATTTAACATTCGATATTTTCGATATTGTTAAATATTTTTATATTCTCGGGGTCTGTTGTATATTTACATTCTGGTTGTATGAAACTACCACACACATATTACAGTGTGGTATTATGAATAAAATATTATTTGACTCCTATTTATGTTATTTTTTTCAGGACCCTCCTTGTAAATATTTCCATTTGGTCATATTCTGCCCTAGGTTTATCCATTTTCAGATGCATCTACGGTTTTCTTTACACTTCGGTATTCTCTTGTGTTCTATCTATATTCCACCAGCATCCATTCCGTTGATGTTAATGTCGACACCTGTATGTTTATGCTAATGCGAGTACCTTATACAGTTATATAATATCGACACCTGTATGTTTCTGCTAATGCGAATACCTTATACAGTTATATTAATGTCGACACCTGTATGTTTATGCTAATGCGAATACCTTATACAGTTATATTAATGTCGATACCTGTATGTTTATGCTAATGCGAGTACCTTATACAGTTATATTAATGTCGATACCCGGTATGTTTATGCTAATGCGAGTACCTTATACAGTTATATTAATGCCGATACCCGGTATGTTTATGCTAATGCGAGTACCTTATACAGTTATATTAATGTCGATACCCGGTATGTTTATGCTAACGCGAGTACCTTATACAGTTATATTAATGCCAATACCCGGTATGTTTAATGTTAATTCGAGTACCCGTTATATTTGTGTTTATGAAAGAACCGTACAAACATGTATTTTGTTAATAACAATACCTATTATATTTATGTTAATTGCGGTAACTATTATACTTATGCCGGTTCAGATTATATCTGTGTTAATTGCAGTAACCATTATTTATAGGTTAATGTCGGTATTCGTTATATTTATTTTAACGCTGAAACTCGTTTTATATTTATGTTAATGCCAGTATCTGTAGGGTTTACGTTAATTCGTCAAGACAGTTTTACGTTGTTATATTTTGTTATGCGGTTATCATCAAACTGCAGGGCAGTAGTCAGGAGTTGCTTTTAAAGAAGAACTGCTAAATGTGAAATATAAATCGGATATATTTTGTCAGCTTTTTATGCAAATGAATTAAAATGGGTACACGATAATGTGTCACTGTTAATTACAAATGATCTTAATTTGAGTTTAAAATTAATACTTTCCTCTGGGCTGTATCTCGGATATTTACATTGACAGAACAGTAAATGTTTATATAGTTAACAGACTTACCCTTACCTACAAAACACGACATAATAGGCTTAATCCTGTATCCACTGTTAGATCTTTCCCTTACTCCGTGTCACTATTAATCGTTAAGTTGTGTGGCGATAAGAAAATGCCATAATGTTAATACTTACAAACAGATTAGGATTAATGTTTAAATATCGTTATTATTCCGCACATTTATATTATGGGTTTACATGCTTATGACAGGTGTATATATTCTGTGTTTGATAAGACTTAACACATCAATATTCCGTCTATTCGTATTATCTGTTATCTGCTCTTGTGAGCAGATATTGATTGTTACGTCATTGGTTTGTCAGAGTAACGTCATACATGTTTTAGAAAACGACGTAATTTTTTCACACAAACCAATGACGTAACAATCAATACCTGCTCACAAGACAAGATAACTCTGCAATACGCAAAGACGGAATGACAAAATGCAAATTCATCAAAGAACGCTATTCGTTTTGGTTTGCGGTTTGAATTCCTCTCATATACACGTCATTTGGGAAGGGTTTTTAGGTCGAAACACTCTCATTTGTTTATTCTACTATTAATTCTGTAGCAACATTTTTTGGGGGATTTGACATAAGCATTAACTGAAAATCTAGATCCTTCATAACCTCCAATTTGTTATTCCCGTACAGTTCGTTAGAAACTCCTATCATACCTCCGACCTAAAACTATGATGTGCCTCTTCCTGCTTTATTAACATCGAAACTGTTTACAACCAAGCTGTACGATAAACATGACAATTACGTTTTTCTATCTTTAACTTGCCATTTCTTGATAGTAATACCTCTGCTTCCTTAGCACGTGAACTCACCTACCATTCCCGGATACCTGGTTTTATTATCATCGTTCTTTTTCAAGGGTCTCCATTTGAATCTTCTCTTAGTTCATATTTTGCCATAGCTTTATCGTTTTTGAGTTTGAATTATGGTTTCGTTGAAACTCAATTACAGAGAACCACAATATATTTTAGAAGATGGTCAATAATACCTAAATTATATAAAAAAAAAATATCTTCAAATATCATAAAAAAAAATTAACCAGTTTTATGAGAAAAAAACCGTCCCTTTTCATGAAGAGCCTGAATAAAGAAAGGTTATAATGTTACAATAATTGATATTTGAGATAATCATTTGANAATTAATCACCTATTGACCATGTTAAAAGGATCCGGTGATAATTGCTTTAGGCTCCAGTGAGCACGCTTATTGCCGGACACCTGTGGGCTTGTCGTCCGGTCCCCCTCCCCACTAATTACAGGCCCCCTGTGGCAATACGCCTATCGTGCAACTGACCAGTGGGGTCATTGCTGGACTTGGGTCAGCCGTGTCATTTAATCAGTGTCAATTTCTTGTGTAAAAAGACCACCTTCAGTACAAATAACAAGGTGATACGGTTCACAGTTTAAGGTGATACGGGTCAATTAAGCTGATACGGCAGGGAGGATTTCAAAACGAAGCTGATACGGAGCCGTATCAGCTAAATGGCCTGGGGAGAACCCTGCTTTATAGGGACTTCTTTCAACTTATGCATCTAATATACATGTATATAACTTTGGCCATCGCAGGTTCTTTTTTCTTTTTGAGTAAATATAAGGTGATACAGGTTTGATCCATAATCATCGTGTTTTATTTTGTCTTTGTCTGTTTACAGTGTGGTGGCTTCTGTCCTTGTGTATTGGCGCTGCGGTATGTTTTGCTTGAATGATAACCGCAGTATTCTGATAATAAAGATACCTAGTATAGCCTGTTCACAACAAACATGTGGCGTGCGCTGCCCCTACTAACTTAGTATCCCGGGTACACAAAACAATTACGTGTTTAATACTTAACATAGGTGTGATATGTCAGATGCCTATTGGCACACGCTTGCCGTCCAGCCGCTTTGTACTTTTCTGCACTAGAATACCATTTATCTTTTCATGTAAATAGAACCAATCTCAAAATGTATGCAAGTTTAATTATGTATACATGTAGCAGAAAAGCAGTATTGTATTATAACTAATTTATGCCTGTTGTCCGTCGTCAACGCTACTTCTGCTGTTTGCATGTTGATACAATAAACATATGTACGTCACCAACTCTCTCGGACACAACTTACTAAACTTTGACCGTTGTTGACTCTGCAGTATCCTATTGGTCAAATTATGATTTTTTATAATTAAATATTGATGACGTTTTAACAGAAAATCATGATTAGGACGTTTACTGGTAAAGCAGGACAAATATATCTAGAAACTCCGGTAATAAGAGCAGGCTTCGGCGTGGCGGATCTTGGAGAAAAGAAGACCGGTAATGAGTTATACCTGAGGAAAGGAAACCAAAGTCATTGAGTTTGGTTTTGACGGTATTCCTGAGGAAAGAAAACCAAAGTCATTGAATTTGGTTGTGACGTTATTTTCAACTGTTGTCAGACTGTAGATAGAACTAAATTTATAAAGACAAAGGTAACCGGTCCCGAGGCTGGCTAGCTTGTTTTCATTCGCGGTACAATATATCCTCCCTTCTGCAAATTATCGATGGGTGAAATTAGGGTTGATTGTACTAGACTGTCAACAGGTACAGCTACATCCTTGTCAGCTGGAACGACTTTCCGTTTCGTCCATTTTCCACTCTTCTATCCGTTAGCAACTGACATGGAGACTTATATATTGCAGTTGTAACGAAGAGTTCATTTTCACATAGAGAACTGGTCCGTAAATTACACCTGTACATGTATCTAACTACATGTAGCAATGTATAATACTGAGAATGTATGATAGGCGATGAACGTGGTATATTGATGGGGGTATTATTATCGGACAAAATCTCCACCCGTGGAAATTATTTCTCAGTTTTGGAGGTGAACGAAAGATCTTAGTTTACAGGATAAGTAATCAAAAATCTGCTGACGTATGTAAATAACACAATAAAAAGCGCCGGTCCCCTGTCGCCAGGCACGGCGTGAAATGAGTGAGACAGCGCGGTCGGCAGAATTTAGGAGGAATGATGTGGGACTGGCGTTTAACGTAAACACTGTGGGACTGGCGTTCAACGTAAACACTGTGGGACTTGAGTTTGAAGTAAACACTGTGGGACTTGACTGTAAGGCACTAATCGAAGAAGTACGACCTGGCAAAGGTCGAGTGACACTGTGAGCAGCCTATGGGTACGTATTCCATCAAAGGAATGTTAATGATACGCACATATATATATATATATACGTGTGCTCATGTATAAACAATCATATCACAATACGATAACGTAAGATTTAAACATAAACGTGTGACTTTTGGTTTACGGATGTGTCAAACGATATCTCTGCTGGTTACGTACACTGGATGGTGATGTAGAGCTGGTATCAGATAATATATCCCAGCCCCCATACTGTGATCTGTTAATTACTGGCGTTTGGATTACAATGGTGCACATTACAAAACACAGATTTTCTAAAAAAAACCCACATAGATTTGACATAGGACAGCGTAGCTTAACACGACACATTGAAAATATTACGAAATATATCTTCAATGTTGTATTGCTCGCGACTCAATGCATGTATCTTTTATTTCATTTTTATTTCCACACTGTAATTGATTTAATAAAATATTTTAATGTTGACAAACACGTGACCTGGTTATGCCAGTGTTATAGAATATTTATCAGTCTGGTGTTAGGAGATCCAATGACAGATTAAGTACACCAGAAAGTCACAACCAGGCTAAGTGAAAAAGATCAAGTGACGTACACATATGTCTAAAAACTTTATATTGGAGATGTTTTCCTTTAGTTTTGTCCTACTGGCTATATATTAAAATGAACTTTCGAGTCTAACTATGGCGTTTATAACCTTGTCAAGTTGATCAATGGTGTGCACTACTTACCTGAGTTTACAGTAATATATTTGCATTAATAAGCTACCAGAGGGCAAACCACTACTATTCCGACATTGTCTCTACTACCATCACCACCTATATATGTGAGTATCTGAGATACTACACACACATTTTTAGTGTGAGTGGACTCATAGCATTAACCCATCGTATATAATTCTTGAACTTTCCTACTATCATGTTACAATTTTCGAAGGAAATATTTAGGGCGATAAAAGATACTATTCATTGTGTCGGTGAGTGTACACTTACAGTTTTGTTCTGCATGAGTGCGAAGAAGACACCAACGCAGTGTTGCGTGACGACTACATATATTTACATATTTATTCCTTACGCGTATTTTTGCCCTAGGTTAAACAGCACAGTGTCACCTAATTATGTCGAGACAACGACTGTCTATGATTATCATAGAAAATCTGCTACGTACAATGTATAAGACCACAGATAGCTTACATGCATTATTGCTTCAAGAATCCTCTACCCTATCACGACCAGTGGTACATGGTACACTGCAGGTATTCGAGGGCAACTGATGTGCAGGTTGACAGAGGAAGTTGAACAAACGAGCTTGAACAACTGCGTTTACATATGCGTTATATAACCTAGCTCTAGATTAACTGCAATATCAAAATGGAATTTTGACTGGGAGGTAAATGAATTAAGGTAGGTTTTCCAACCGAAGACTGTTCGGGACTTTCTATCATATCTTAAACATGATTCAACGACACTTGGTTGTTTCCAACTTACTAAGGTGCTTGCTGGATAAGATATTTGCAATAGAAATTACTCATTTCTTACCTCCATAGGATATTCTATCGTTTGGTATACAGATTGCTTAATTTTAATTTTTAATTTTAAGCAATACAGAACAGGATATCAATGTGGTATTACAACTGTGCCCACGTTTGGATTATTTTGTACGATTTTCTCACTAGATACAAAGATGCAGAAGCCCTCTGGACGACTGGCGGTGGAAGACTACAAGCTCCTCAAGGACCATGCCGATGACGTCATGTTGTTCAATGACCTATATCGGTTGAAACTGTATCAGGGCAATGACGTCATTCTTGAACCAGGTACCTAAATGCCTCGCTAAAATGTAGTTCTGAGCATGTAACAGTTATTCCTTAAAAGGTTTGATTTTAGCTAGGTCCCTCATAAATAACTTTGTAAAAAGTTATTCTATCTGTTATATGCTTCAACCAAATATTCGGAGACATCGAGACAATATGCAGCATTCGACAGAAATCAGTAGGAAAGGCGTTACATTATAGTGGGATAATGCTGCCTTATTTTCATTAAATTTCATGTCTTCAGCCGAACGGTACTGGTATGAATTTTATTTATCGAAACAAGTCCATTTTTGTGGCGGTGTTATTTTACGCTACAATGTTGTTGAAGTTGCTGGTGGTCTCGGTCCTCGGAGTTTGCCGTGATCTTGTAGCTGGACATTATTCTGGAGTGCTTTACATAAAACGTTAATTCAAGAATAAATTATCTGTTGTAGCGAAGCTGGTAAATTTGTAACGTTATTAAGGGTTTTGTTGGAACCTTTCGTCTTTACTATATTTTTTACATATGCTTCGTTCATATATGTTCGTCAGCAAAATATTTCAGTCATTTAATGTCGTGCTTTAGATCTTTATTACCGCTGTGGATGGATCAGGGTTCGGGTTATAGATATGTGGGTATAGGTTACTGATGCTGCAATAAGATGTGTTGTTTTAGAATTGTTTTACCAGTGACCCCTTACTTTGATCATGTATTTCTCGTGATTATTTTATCGTGCAAAGATGAAGGTCAGCTTCCAGGAATACACGGGAACTTCCTTGCCAAATGTCTTCAATGACTTTCAATCCTCTCTATCCAGTTAGTCTACCGAAAGTCGGTTTGAAAAGATTGTTGCAGCATATATTTTAGAAAAAAATGCTTTGATGAAATATGCACTACTTAAGGCAAATTAATTATGATGTGACCAAATGATCATTAGTACAATGAAAAACCAATGAGAAAAAAGCAGAAGTTTGGGAAAGCGGGGAGACGATGGGGAGGTTTTGATTTACTATCCGGTAGATGATGTACAGAAAACAATGGCATCTAGTTAATTAACTCTCTTTCAAATCAAGAAGTATTATTTTTCCAGATTAAATTGCGAAATGCAGAATGGATCATAATCAGCTTAATTAAACTTACCAAAACCTAATGGACAGAAAGGGTTTAATCTTACTACCAGGCTGTCCATCCGGAAAACATGTGTTCAACAAGTTTATTGTTTACTTCCTGAATGAAATCAGTACTACCAGACAAATATAGTTTATAAACAATAGTAACCTGCCCTGACTGTTGCTATCATATGCGAGGGTAAACATTCATAAATCTCGCACCAACAACCAAGGACGAATGACCCAAGATCATGATTTTCAATGAGCTGCATCAGTTACCTATACCCACACATATACTACCCTAACCCTAATCCACCTACGTGGATAAAATCGCGAGTCCATCTGAGGTGGCTTCTCGATTATATCCACGTGTTCGCGATGAGAAGATTCTTCTCATGACAAACCCCGAAAGCACAGTATGATAATCTATAAATAGTCCGTTGTTATGTTTCTTATTCAATTGTTGTCGTGTGATTGTTAAGGTATTATAGTAAACATTGTCTGATTCCTTGCTCAATAGTTTGTCAATAAAATATCTTTAAATTTACACCAGTAAAAAGTACAAGCATTTGTTGGGTTTTTTTGTTCATCATTATTTCTCTTTTTAAATGCATACGGTACAACCAGAAAAGCAATATAAGACAATCCTTAAAATCTTCTTTGAAAGATAAACACTTTTTATACAAGGTTAATTATTATGTATTCATTTTCGACCTAAAAAGGCGATATATAACATATGATCTTTATATCGTTATTACATATGAGGTTATCATATAATTTCAAAACTAAATAATGATTGTCAGTGTCAAAATATTAATGGTTACTTTTTTCGCAGGTTGGCAACACATGGCGTTCACTGTACCTGAAATACATAGAGCTGCGTTCACTGGAGATATAAAGCAATTAGCAACTCTCGCAAAACAAAAAGGAAACGCCAATCTTCAAATCAAAGACGGACCAAAGATATTGCTAAGCCTTGACAACTTCGAGAGAAACTATGTGGGTTTTTTCGTTGGAACTACACCTTTGATGGTCGCTAGTGAACGGGGAAATAACAAAGCTTTGAGAGTGCTCCTCCAGAACGGTGCTCTCGTTAACACGGCCGACAGCGTGGGGCTCACAGCGTTCGCATGGGCATGTTCATCAAACCGGAAGTCCACATGTGAATTGTTGTTGTCACATCGTGCGATGATCGATCTCAGAGAAGACCGCCATGGGATGTCACCATTATTGTTGGCCAGTCGCCGAAATTTGACAGATATGACAAACTGGTTGTTGAGCAGGGGTGCAAATGTCCACTCGCGGGACACAAAGGGAATGTCAGCTCTCCACTTCGCCGCCTGGAACTACAATATACCTCTGATGATATGTTTGGTTGATCGCGGTGCCATGCTCAACACAAAGGACCGATCCGGAAAGACACCGATACATCTAATGGCATCCGAGGATAGTGTCTTCGAGCCTGTAGAACTTGACCATGGAATAAACGAGCTAGAAAAGGCAAGTATTGAACTACTTCTGGAACGAAATTACCAACTGGAACAAAAAGGGGTTCGTATAATATTAGATATACATCGATCCATAACTCGTGGTTCTGGTCAATTGCCTTCTTTGGAGGAGTATTTGGCCCTTCAAAAGCTTGTTAGTTTGGGAGCTAATGTGAATATGCAAGACAAATCTGGACATACACCGTTGCATCTACTTGCCTCTCGTCTTCCCAAGGCAGTCGTGGTTCAGGGTTATGTTATTTGCACCGCGCCAAAGTTAAATCAATCCTTACTTGTACAAATAAATATGCTTCAACGATTTGGTGCCAAAACAGACCGAGCTGACCTTGCAGGACGAACGGCAGCCGATCTGTGTGTCCAAGGAGAAAACTGGCTAGGAGTAAATCTGCTGAAGAAATATTCCGATCACGTAAAAGACATGCCACGTCAAAAGAAAATTGGAAAGGAGATTTGGAGAAAAGGTATGCAATATTGTGAAAAAGAAAAAGAACTGGAAATGGCAATAGAGAAGCTAACCGATGACATTCTTGACAACTGTGCGCTGACGCCGAGACAACATATGACGGCCGATCTGATGGCCATGGCACGCAGGGAACTGCACGTGTTTCTCACAGACACTGTCCCCAACGGTCTCCGTGCATGGTTCCTGTAATTATTATACTGGTGTCAGTGCCCCGACAGAGAGAGAAAATTGTCTTTAACTGCAAGATCACGTTACAATATTGTAGTTCTACAATACAAAAAGAAAAATGCCTATAACAGCGAACTCTCACCAAAATGTGTAGTTCTTGCAGATATAGTAAGAAGAAGCCCCGTGATAACGATAACAAGAAAGTAAACCTTTGACGCGGGGTTGCTAAAGTAACAACACGCCTTTCGTACGTGGTTAACAACAATTACTGGTATATTATGTCTCAACTCTACAGAATTAATTTTCCAAAGTTGAGAAATGCACAGAAAAACAAACACAAACTTGAAATTACAAAAACATGATATATTTGATAAGAGCAAACGACAATGAGATGATGTACATTGTCCGGCTACATGAGCTAGCCGTATGTACAGGTACAAATTTATCATCTCTGACGGTAAGGTAAGCCCGGATTGTGGCGCCACAGTACTACATGTACATAAGTGTAAGGCTGATTCTTTATAAGTATGCTTTTAAGCAAGTAGCCTGATACCTTTCTTTCAATTATATATAACATCAGTAAAACAATCTTATACTGTGTCCCGGGTCCTAAGGTAAGGTATAAATTGAAAATAAATGCTGCAAGAAACAAAGAAACCTATACGAAAGCGTGGCTTTACATACAGAAATGTCATAGAAGTTGGTTCTAATTTGTTTTGAAAATGGAGTATATGAATTAAATTTCGAATACACTTTAAGTTAGAAAACGAAGTTTATCAACGACTGAGGATGGGCAGAAATACCTCAGCATTCATTGACAGTTTGTGTAGGACGCATTAACCGTCATTATATATATAAATAAAACAGGATCGGTTAAAACTAGGCTACATCTATCAGGGACACAAACAAAAACACCTAAGGTAGCTTGTGTGAGCGGACATCATAATGACATTGAAATTGGTACACAAATATAACAATATGCACGTGAAGTTCAGCTAGACAATTGTACAATACAAAATATAAATTAAAACGAGATGTTCTGCTAGACAATTGTACAATATAAAATATAAATTAAACCGAGATGTTCAGCTAGACAATTGTACAATACAAAATATAAATTAAAATTACAAAATACATCATATTTTAATCCCTATCATACAGGGTACACATGTTCGATAATCTGTAGCGTGTTACTGATACACCTGTTCGATAATCTGTAGCGCGTTACTGATACACCTGTTCGATAATCTGTGACGTGTTCAGGTTCACCTGTTCGATAATCTGTGACGTGTTACAGATACACTTGTTCGATAATCTGTGACGTGTTATTTTTCAACCACCAAGAAAGTCTGGTTTTAACGCCTCGTTTATTGCTTAGCAAAAAAAAATGGTTTTGCCAAGGCCACAGCATAATTCCTATTATATGATCACATTTTCATCATACTGGTAGCTACAACATGGAAAATATTGCTTGATGATTCTATATCTTCATGTTATTGTACAAAGCAAGTAACGGAACTCGTAACATCAATACTACTTTGATATGCCCAGAACATATGCATAACAACAGAGTAATCTCCCTTTAAACATGTCATGATATTATGTAATGCCTTTATGGCACACACACACACCATCATACAAACAAATATTAATATACATACAGGCCTCCTGATATGGGTCAATACACAACACTGTATGCTAGTATACATTAGCACCACACTGACAATTCATGTATCGTCATCTCATTTAGACCATTATAGTATTATGCTCGAATTGTAATATATTACATGAAAAATAATTATAAACTCAAATTGAGTTAATTTATTGATAATATTAATACAAAAAAAGTGTCGTTAACAGGTTAAAGATGTGACCAATCTAAATCAAAGTCGGTATCAACCAGTAAACTTCTTCGTTGTATCCAGGGAGTATTTCTGTAATCGTCCGGTGTTTGTGAATCTGCTTCTGGAAAGTCTAGATCAAAACCGATACCGATTCCACTGTCGCTGGTGAGCGACCTAGCCGGGGTGTTTCTGACAGGTGACAGTTCTACAGCAGTCATAGGAGTAATGGCGACTATCTCCTCGACAACCTCGTCTTTCTTGTGATCGTCGTTGGTGAACCGTTCGTGAGTTGGACAAACTTTGGTTTTACACCAAGACCACAGTCCTCGTGTACAGCATGACCACATCGCCTGTAGAAACGAAATAAACAATATTAAACAAAAACGTATAACTATAAAATCATTTCTGAGAAGAAAAAATATTCTTTGTGGAACTTTAATGTAAAAAAAATATAAGATGAAATTAAAAATCAACCAGTGTTCTTACATGAAGTATAAAAATGACCTCCAATCAGTATACTGTAGCTCTAAGTAAACTGAGCTTCCTGATTAACAGTCATATCTATTCAACGAAATTCAGGGGAGGTTAACGTTTCTAAATTGTACATGTAAAAATAAGTAGAGTTTGCGTGTAATACGACAGAAAGCACATGACCTATAATACCAGGTTACATATTCACAACACCCAGGGTTTACTGTATACAACCCATGGTTTACCTGTAATACCAGGTAACCTATTCACAACACCCAGGGTTTACTGTATACAACCCATGGCTTACCTGTAATACCAGGTTACATATTCACAACACCCAGGGTTTACTGTATACAACCCATGGCTTACCTGTAATACCAGGTTACCTATTCACAACACCCAGGATTTACTGTATACAACCCATGGCTTACCTGTAATACCAGGTTACATATTCACAACACCCAGGGTTTACTGTATACAACCCATGGCTTTAAGGAAATTCAACAAAGTAAGGCAACTTTATTAAATTCGGGGCTTTTTAAAAGTACATTGTACAAACACCATAGTAACATGAATCTTAAAATAGCTGAATGAATCGATGTCTGCTCCAGTATTGTTTTTTTTTGTTTTTTTTGTAAAGGAATCAATGATTTCTTTTAGAGGAAAAGCTAGCCGATGTTTTTTAAAACTATCTTTAAGAATATTCGTACTATTTTCAGTTGCCAAGTAGAAATGGCTAATTCCCCTAATTTTGCTGCTACCGGTCGTTTAGTGACCAGGGGTTGACACTAACTTTTGNCACGCACTTCACTCGTCCAAGAATGATAACGACAACTTTTAGCGGTTTAACAACACGAAAATACGATACATTTTTTAACCAGATGGGATTTTACGGCTCGCTGGCGAAGTAAATAAAGTCTTTATTAATATATTTCTGAACAACATTCTCAAATATATATACACTTATCAAGTAATATGTGGTGGACCGGCGGTCTACCAGCTTTGGAGATTAAGTGGACCGTCCAAGATTTTGGTGGACCCGGTCCTCCGGTCTACCGTTAGTGTCGATCCCTGGTGACTTATCGGCCGTAAAGCGACATAATGTACCTCAGTATCTGAAACTTTAGAAGATAGCGTCAGCCTGCTGACGACTGCACTTTAGTAACATCGCTCACCGCGGGACGCCATATTGAAATCCAAAACTCTTAATTTCTGAATGAATTGAAAAGATTTCTTTATTATCATCTAATTTGCTTGAACATGAATACAAGCCGACTTTGTGTTTTAGGTTTGTGCAAATAAGAATTAAAACAAACGACAATCACGTAAGAGTTTTACAGGAGATGAGGCTACATATAGGCCTCTATGATAACAGTTTATCTGTTTGTCTGGCGGACCGCCCGGGAACAGTCGACAGTTGTAAGGGCTATAGTAACTCACAAGAGAGAAATTTGTCATGTCTATAGATTACTGGTGGAGAGAATCCGATATTGTACACGGAGGCAAGGGTAACACAGCTTTTATTTTGAGATGAGAGATAAAGTCCTGGTTACTTGACATAATGAAGATGAACCGTTTTACGGGCTGAGGTGGGATCCGGGTCAAATCCAAGAAACGATCCTTACATAATAGAACATTGTGGGAACACATTCGGCTGTGTAGACAGTACTTAGATCTGATATGGACCTACTGCAGTGTACTAGAGTGAAGGTTCCTACAAAGAGTCACTGTTTGTGTAAAATCTGGAACAGCTACATGTTACATAACTAAGCGTCAAGGCGAAAACAGGAAATATATTTGAAACCTTAGTAAAACACACGAACAATAGGCCTATTACAATGGTATCAGAGCGAGGAATTGACTCGGTATGAGGATCGTTATGGGGTGATACGACAGTAAATGTAGGGGTTTTAAACGGGGACAGTTATGTCCGGCTTAAAAAAAGAAGGAGGCACTATGGTTTTAAAAAGGGAGATCAATGAATTGATAGATTTATACTAGTTTCTATTTCGACCATGAGGTACATGTACATGTAACGCGTAGGAGAAGTTTTATCGTACACTGACTCCCGTCACTTTAATATTTCATTCATATATAAAGAATAAAATGAAACTTTCCAAATGTTGATCTTGGATGTAGAAGAATGCAGCTAGACAATTATTCGCAAAAACTTAGGGACTAGTAGCCAATCTGGTTACATTTATGCTGACATGGATGGGGCGCTTTGGTTGTGAAAAGGACCGAGAGGTTGATATACAGTAGTGTACAGGATATGTTACACCTTTTACACGTGTATCTAGATTGATATCGGGTACGAGAAGACTATACACAGGAGAACATTACTTACACCACAACAGCGAGATATCACCGTCCTGTTGTCCCTGAAATTAGAAAACAATTACTACAACCATGAACAACAAACAAGATATTTATCACTGTAAATCACTATTGTTTTGTAATTATTCTCCAAACTTTTGTCTCTTTGCGTGGATAGAATAGTTCAATAGTTGATATAACTTTGTCCCTTGATACACAAGCTTGTCACCAAATCCTTTACCATATTTTTTTTACTAAACTTGTACTACATGTACCTTATTTCTCAATCAGAAATGCTAGGACTAAACTAAAGGAAAATAAATAAAAAATAAAAAAAAAATATAAGTTTCGAATTATTTATGTTATATATTTAACACGTGTGCGATGTGTATGGGTTTCAAGATATTTTTGTATGTAAACATGCTTGGCATGGATTAAGTGACATATTTTCCAGGTGTGTGAAGTGTGTTTTGAACAGTTTTGTATGTAAACATGTATATACTGCCTCGCGCGTGAGCACGTCTGTACAGATGGAAGTTGACTAATCGTTTCACCAGACACCTTTGTAGTTACGTTATCAACATTTTGTGTTTGTTGCATGTTATGTTAGGATCATAATGCATGTTTGTGGCGTTTCGTCTGCACACGCATGCGCTCGAGAAGTATGTATGTCAGGCCAAACAGAAGTTGTTTGCACTCTCTGCCTTCAAATAAATATGATACATTAGAAGAAAAATACTTTTATTTTGCAAAATATTTTACAAACATTAAAAATGGCCAGCGTATCAGGTGTAATCAGTGCTTGTATAACATCAGACAAAATAGAACAGGCACTGGAAACTAGAGCAGGGAGGGGAAACGCAAAACACATAAATAGCTTGTCCGTTCCTTAGACATATCAAGGCATTCTATGGGAAACAGTGGAATTCTTTGTAAGGCCCTACTACACCTGGGAGTTGCACGCTACGGCTGGTATATATAGACACAGGCTCCTCCGTGTATACCTGTCGACTGGTATAATTATAACATACTATTAAACCTGTCTCCTCGGTGATTAACATGCTGTTTTTATACATATCTTTTTCATTAAATACAAATGTACATGAAAAAAGCAACTGCGTGAAATACACATCAGACATTACATAAAAACCGTTCTGGGATGTTCCAGTACCCCAGTACAATATGTGATGGATGAAATCTTTAAGATAAGAGACACATAAAATAACTCGAAAGCAAATTTAATTTTCACTTCTGTCATTACCTCGGATAAAGGTATTTACTGACAGGTTTCGTACAAACTGTCAGCATCGCTTTAATACACATCTAATCTAGAAATCTTTAAAAAGATTCCATACTTCACCCCCACTAAAAACTGACAACTGAGCCTTTCAACGGCCAATACAAAAGTACCCGGTAATCGACCGAAACAGTATTCAGAGGCCTACAGACCGCGTATGAGCGTTGAAACCACCAAACCAAACGTGTTACTGCCTTGTGTGTTGGATCTTCCCAAACTGTATCATGTTCAGGTTTGCATTTATAGAGTTGTAAACGTTAATTACACTCACCATATTTAACTTTTTAACGAAATTTAATAACTTAAGTTCAATGAAAATGGAAACTTTAACCCCCTCATATCAATTTGTGTTTGTCCTCAATCGTGTATTAATTAGGGGGGGGGGGGGGGCAGTTACTCTACGACGAAAATATTCTGAACCGGAAGTTATTTCTAAATTACGATTATCGCAGATCATCCATCACAGGAAGTTCATTTGTCAATTATCCGTCGTATTAGACAGAGTCCCGTCCCCCAAGGTGTTGATTAGCACCGCACCACCTGGTGGTGAGGAAACCGTACACAAACAGCGTGAGGTAGGCGGGGTTTTACACACACACGTGTTTATCATACGGATCGTTGGGCGATATGCCCGTCTGGAATGTATTAGCGGATTTATACAGAACTGTCGATTAATCGTTTACAGCATGAAACAAGCATCAGTCTATATACACTTACACATTTTGATCGAGCCTTGTACTCTTTATTACCATAGGACAGCCCTTCTGTCCTTCTTGTATTACACATATACGTGTGAAACATTTCACTGCTGCACGTTCAGTCTACGTCGCTTGTAAACGTGATATGGATATGATAACGACCCTGTAACAATACCTTAATAACATCAATACATTCACACAGAACATAGAACACGATACAGACACAACTGCATCCCTAAACAATCCTGCCTACAGCATGTTCATATGCCTCGGATTGGACTATCACGTAACCTACCGCAAATTGTCAAAATAGGATATGATATCAGTGTGGAAATCAAAATATTCCAGCTCTTTTGTCGCATTATGCATATATAAAAAGTATGTGCATGTGGAAAGTTGTAGTTACATACATCGACTGCGTATCATCAAAGTTCGTGCATTCCATACTTCAATCCAGATCGACTAAATGTTTAAATTAAAACAAACCAAGTAATGTATAAAGAAGCACTTAACTGATTCCGATGCTGCTTTGATTCGGTATCCCATAACAACTCCCCGCTCATCTTTCTCTCTTTCCTTCCATAAACCATCTTGTCAGATTCGGGAATAAATTCAATCTCTGAGTTCTACTTACTATCCATCACGCCCATGTGAAGCTATATATAGAACCATCAAAGACTTAATTGAAGGTAAGCCATGTGGCTGTCTATATCTCCTAGGCGATTCCAATCGAATTAAAATATGTTGGTCAATCAACGAATAAATTTTCTGCAATATGAATATGTTGGTGGTCCGTTCGTGTAGCATGAGATGAAATGGTGGAGTTAGATAAGTTACTTGATAGGTTTAACGATAGAGATCGCAGACGGCCTGGACCAGTATATACCAGCCTCAGTACTAACGACAGGAGCAGACATAGGTACAGGCTGAGCCAGGCAGCTAATTGTTACCTCGATCCACTGCCAATCAGCATACCAACACGCTCATTGTAGTAAACAAACCTCTTACACGTAGTGCTTCATCTAAACAACTGATGCGGTCAGTACTTCTGGGTCAGTATACGACCTGTCAGGGTCAGTACCACCCTCATTACGTACATACATCGCTGTACAATGGAACTCCACTTTTCATGAAACACAAGTCCTGGATTGGTTCAATTTCACTATTGAGAAATAAGGTAGTGGTTTTAGTTTACTTGATTGAGTTCGTGCCAATCGCTTTCGTAAAATGTTAAAAATTGATTACAAAATATAGAATCACAGGTTTGTTTTATCATATTGCTGGCGAATTGCTGTAGGAAATGATGTAATCGAGTTGAGAAATAAATGCATGTCATTGCTATTATAACAGAAAACTGTAATGTATATGGAAAGCGTTGTTCCGGCTGGTATTGTTTAGAAACACTATATGTTATTTGTTGTACGGTGTGATCTTAGTATATGGTGCTAGCACAACGTTAATTATCTATGCGACAGTCAAAGTGGGAAAGTGTGATAACTAAATATTATAACATTACAGCTTATCATTGATGTTAAATTTTAACTGATTTTACTTTGGTGAACCTTGATGTTGGCCAAGGTCATTTAACAGAACAAACTTGATACTTCTGTAGAGTGTGTTATTCCGGCATGCTACAGGACAGGTGTTACTACATGTACTATATGTCTCAAAGACTTTTAGAAAAAAGTCGTTTAAGGTTTTTCATACAATTGACTCCTGTGCCCAGAAAAGATTGTCCATGTCATTTACTCGAACAAACTCGAGAGTCCTTAGCTTCCCACAGCAAGCTTCAGGCCCGATATCATTACTGAACACCTAATTGATCTTGGGAAGTCGTCAAATTGTATGCGTATCCAGATAAATGTCAAATACCATACCAATATGACTGTAGGTTTTACTGAAGTGTGACTTTGAAAGCAAGCCAAGGTTTTTCTGTTGACCTTACTTAATAGCCATTCTACCAAGCATGTCACATACCATGTAGCATTTACTCTAGGCCTCTAAGTTACTAGATGTTAAACAATCTTAGACGTACATTTTGTCTCTGTGACCATGAACGTGTGTCAAAGATATTGATCTGAACAAACTTATTAAACCCCCATCCTACCAAAGTACATGCCATACTGGCCAAATATCATTACAAGTCCCTTAGTAATTTTGGTTATTTAGATTTGTTATTGAAAGTTTAAAAAAACACGTGACCTTAAACGTCGGTCAACTTCATTCAATGAACAGGATTGATAGCCCTTTACTCCAACAAGCCTCAAGCTACATATCATTTGCTTTGACCTCATGGTAATTCAGAAAGAAGAAATCGTTTAAGGGTACATGTATTAAAGTATTTGACCCCTTTTCATGTCAAGGTCATTCACCCCTGTTTCTGTCAAGGTCATTCACTGGAACAAACTTTGTAATCATTTATCCAAGTATGCTACCAACCAAATAGCATGGCCATAGGACCCTTGATTATTTAGAAGTTGTTTTACGAGTTTAATACATTTTAGTCCCGTGAAAATAAAAATAAACTGGTCGAACTTCATTTATTTGAAAAAAATTGAAGGACCTCTACTGTCAAAATATCATTACCCTCGATTTCGGTTTCTCGATTATTGAGAAGTGATATAAAGGTTTAAAATATCTAAATTTGGAAATCGAGCAAGGTCATGCATTTGAACAAACAAGCCCTCCCTCTCAGCATGCTATTGTCCACATACTATTAACCTATGCATCCTGGATATGCTGATTCAATTTTTTAAAAATTGGACCTTTTAATCCTTAACACTGATCAACGTAATCCCTTTGAACAAATTTGATAGACTCTCATTCCAGCATAGTACCGACCAGATATCATGAGTCTATGCTTCTTGGTTTTTCTTAAGAAAAACGTTGACGGACAGACAACGGACGCGGCAACATCACATAAGATCAGAGGCACAGTGCGCCAGGTGAACTCATACAAAATCTTCTACGTGTTTCTTAGTAATCGCAAACATAGCGTTACTGGTGTATACTGTTCAGACAGTATGTGTCCATAAAATATATCATTGGCACAGCAGGAGAAAAACAGGGTAAGAGACAGAAAAGAGGTCGGAGAAGGCATTAGAGAGACCGAGAGGGAGATACAGCCACTCAAAGAGAAAAGCAGATTCGGATAGTGCAATAGGTTCAAAGGTCATACCAATAGAAGATTGCTTTTAGCGTTGATAATTTGGATACATTTATAGGTTTGCATAACGCAATATGTCGGGGAAAATGCAATTTGATTGAGAGACAAAAGCAGTCCTACGAGGTAAAACGTTTGCCTAGGGATGGAAGGCAATCTGTTCGAATGATGCAAAGGGATCGGAGAATACAATGATAACCGGAGACAATAAGACATTGGAAGGCAGATTGCTTTTTCTGGTAACACGTTATATAAACGGTATACGTCCAAATGACACAGTGGAGATACAGAGGTTCCCTAACGAGTGATGGTTGGTTATCATGTTTATCTAACTCGAGTTAATTAATTTTCAATTTGATAAAAGGTTCTAGGTTGACTGATTGTCTTTTACAATTTGAAAATTAACTTTCGAGAGAAATATAAACATGGTGAGTGCATGGACCTTTTTCTCCCACAACGCGAAGATTTTTTTTCTCTCGGGTGTACATTATTCCTGTTTCAAATCTGGGAAACAATTACCATGAACTATGACATCTCAATTGAAGATGACGTCGCAAACCATTGTTACTTGACGTCATAATTAAACGATCAGCATAACCAACTTCTAACGCTATTCTATAGGTTTCTTCACTCCCACCGCAGTGGATAAACCTGCTAGGAGTTGGTAAACATTTTTGGTAAACCACTAGGGGGTAACACCCTGGACATTATTCCATTGGTCAATCTTCTAATTATGACGTCAAGTGTGCTTTGCGACGCCATTGGCCAGTGTGATGTAATAGTAAACGGCAATTACTTCTCCGATCTGAAACGGGGATAATGCAAATTTGGTGTCTTTAAACAGGAAAATTAATTAACTAGTGTTAGATAAACATGACAGCCAACATCCGTCGTGTGGGAACCTCTATGTATACAACAGTTGTTGTTGAAGACGTAAATGTATGCAGGTGGTTCGTGTAGGTGTGTGTTGACATGGTATAAACTTTAAGTGGTAAAGATGCGACAAGGTGTCAATATCCGTGTGCTGAAGTAAGCTATGTGTCAATATCCGTGTGCTGAAGTAAGCTAGGTGTCAATATCCGTGTACTGAAGTAAGCTAGGTGTCAATGTCCGTGTACTGAAGTAAGCTATGTGTTAATATCATTGTTCTGAAGTAAGCCAGGTGTCAATATCCGTGTACTGAACTAAACTATGTGGGGTTGTGACAGCATCTGGACAAATCGCCGTTCGGTCCGTCATGTATCCGTTCTGTTTCAGTCCGGAAGTGTTTTACCTGTTGTATTTATATATCAAACTCGTTAAAATGACGAGTAAAATCTACACCAGTTGATTAAGAAACAAACTCACCTGTCGAGCAATTATTCCAAAGCACACCTTTAATTCTGTAACAAACGCACTCACCTATTGAGTAGATAATATACGACGAGGGGAAGGAAAATAAATCCGAACACACAGACAGCGATGAGTACGATGACGACCTCTCCCGGCAGTCTACCGTCATCCTCACCAACAAACACATCTACACCTGGACTTTTTGTAGTTGCTGACCAATCAGAACCGTTTGTTGCATTAACATCATAAGTTGTCATAATAACGGAAGTGGTGACACTAACCGACGTCAACATATCCCGTATGGATGGACTTTTGGAACAATGTAAATCCCTAAGTAATCCAAAGGCTTTACAAGTGAATGCACATTTCCTAATCACCCCACAAACGTCACCAACAGGTAAACTGTCCACACACCTGGAGAGAATCCGCGACCTCTCCTCACAGGTCAGTTGGTCGCTCTTCGTTGACCACGATTCGCATAGAAGCTGGACGCGCGGGATGGGTGGACAAGGCGCTGTGTCCAGTAGTCTGTCCAGAAACCCACTGGAGTTGAGTGGTAATTTGATATAGGCCGAGGGTGTCGGGGGGACTTCTTCAGAAACCTGGTCCACACTCCTCCGCCTTACAGGCAAGCTGGCACATATCTGTGTGTTATGAGAAAAATAATCAGAAAAATATGAAAACACTTAGCAAATTATATGAACATAGAAGGCGTCTGTTGGAACTATTTCTCAGTCTTACCAAGAAACCCGTCCCATCTCTGTTTCGACTTTCTATATAGTTGAGTTTTGCTTTATATCTATAGCGCTCTTAAAATTTCGATACCTTAGTAGAAAGTCTCGTTACATGTATCATCAACAGTTGTTACTCTATCTCTGTAATCGTGTAACAACATTCTCCCAGTAGGGGTCCTTTGGCAACTCCCGATACCTACTAATGTGTGATATATAGATCACAGATAAGCCCTAATCTATAATCACGCACGCGAGCATGTTCGTGCGAGCATGTTCGTGCATCGCTAATCCCGAAAATGTGATTTCACCGTCAACCAGGAATGTCCCGACAGAGGTTACTGTCAATTTCCAAACATATTTTGCTCATTAATCGATCATCGATCGCATCAAATCCCAACCATAAATTACAGACAAATATATATATATGTTCATTACCATGACCAGGTTGCATGTTATTCTGTACATGTTCCCAAGTTTACACAGATGGCCTCGCAATACAGTTAGCAGTCCGCAATATTTGGACACCGCTAAGCAGGCTAATTGTATTCACTCGATGTATGCAGTGGTTGACCTGCCATAGAACGGAATGTTTGGACACAGCGGGACTATAGATAGACCCACTGGAACGACGGGACACACTATATGTCCAAACTGATGCAGCCGGCAATCATATTGAACCCTGACTTCGGTTTTCGTTTAAAGATTTGTTGTGTTTATTTGATATAACGTCTGTGAAATATAATGGTAGTGATACATGTAGGACACCTATATTCGGATGCTACTAGTATAATATAATTACCTCAGTACGTCAATTCTAGTGGACTGTTCGGGTTGTAGTTGGAAGTTGGGTGTTGTGCTTGACGGAAGGGGTGTTTTGAAGTGGAGTGTTGTGTTTGCTGTGTTTGGTAGTTGGGTATGGTTGGTAATGGGGTGTTGTGTTTGCTAGTTGGACGTGGTTGGTAGTGGGGTGTTGTGTTTGGTAGTTGGACGTGGTTGGTAGTGGGGTGTTGTGTTTGGTAGTTGGACGTGGTTGGTAGTGGGGTGTTGTGTTTGGTAGTTGGACGTGGTTGGTAGTGGGGTGTTGTGTTTGGTAGTTGGACGTGGTTGGTAGTGGGGTGTTGTGTTTGGTAGTTGGACGTGGTTGGTAGTGGGGTGTTGTGTTTGGTAGTTGGACGTGGTTGGTAGTGGGGTGTTGTGTTTGGTAGTTGGACGTGGTTGGTAGTGGGGTGTTGTGTTTGGTAGTTGGACGTGGTTGGTAGTGGGGTGTTGTGTTTGGTAGTTGGACGTGGTTGGTAGTGGGGTGTTGTGTTTGGTAGTTGGACGTGGTTGGTAGTGGGGTGTTGTGTTTGGTAGTTGGACGTGGTTGGTAGTGGGGTGTTGTGTTTGGTAGTTGGACGTGGTTGGTAGTGGGGTGTTGTGTTTGGTAGTTGGACGTGGTTGGTAGTGGGGTGTTGTGTTTGGTAGTTGGACGTGGTTGGTAGTGGGGTGTTGTGTTTGGTAGTTGGACGTGGTTGGTAGTGGGGTGTTGTGTTTGGTAGTTGGACGTGGTTGGTAGAGGGTGTTGTGTTTGGTAGTTGGACGTGGTTGGTAGTGGGGTGTTGTGTTTGGTAATTGGATATGGTGGATATCTAATGGGGTGTGATTTATAGTGCGTTGTGCGCTTTGGTGCGGGGTGCGCTTGGTCTTGGGGTGCTGTGCTTGGTAGAAAAGTGTGCTTGGGAGTGGAGTGTGCCAAGTAGAAGATTACACAAGGTAGCGATATGTGCTAGGTAAAGGGGTATGTGGATGTAGAGGGTGTTGGAGCAGGCATGGATGACGTAATAGGCGACATGTTTCAGTACCGTACATGAGACAATACTGGTTATACATGGATGCAAGCTAACTAAACCGGGTGTTCCGGACTATATCAATAACAGCTGATACAGATTCCCCCGTAATAAAACCAAACGTTCTGTACACAAAGTACAAATGTAAAACTTATCACTGGTGAGATACCGGACGGGGCACAGAAAACCATATGTATAGTGATAAAATAGCAGGCTTCCTCCAGCAGACTTTTCGGGACGGGAGGAGAAGGGCATCCACAGGTGGAGATATATGTCGCTCTATCATACTTCAACGTTTGCTTGTCTTTGTTCAAGTCCGTCGGGAATAACGCGGATTCATGCATCTGTCGGACTGTTTGGTTGATGTAGGATATAAAAACAGATGTGTGGTTACATTAACGTTATCTTGTCAATGCCCTGGTCCTCTGATACCCCCGATGTTAATAACACTCACTTTTATATCCCGTCGTAAATGTGATTTCTGTATCAGTCAAAATAGACTTTACACAGCGGTTTTGACATCTCCTCGCCTTCCTTGACCGATTAAAGCACAATGAAACAACCATTGTCCATCTTAATTGGGAAGTAAAAAATATTTTTTTGACGTGGCCATGACGTCAGAATCAATAATACAGCAACGGCAAAGACTGTCTGTTTTCTAAAAAGCAATTAAATAAATTATTTATCATTATAAAACGGTTTAGTTATCATATGATACTCAGTTCTCATTGTTAATGTGCAACAGAATCATTGACATATCCATTGACTACCAAAGGTATACAGAGGTGTTCCAAAGGGGGCTACAGAAAGGTTCCGAAAGGGCTACAGTGGGTTCCAAATGGGCTACAGGGGATACAATCTAAAGGGGCTACAGAGGGGATCCAATGGGGTTACAGAGAGGTTTCGAAAGGGCTACAGAAGGGTTCCAAATGGACTACATACAAAAGACACATAGGATACTTCGAACAAATCCTCTGTTTATGCTGGTAAGAAAACAGATAAAAGATTTCATTTCTATAAATATACCAACAGATCGACGGGGATGCTACAACCGGGTCCCGATAGGAAGGCTAAAAATCTGACGAAAACTTGGCTAATGCCGATCAGTACATTATGTCAAACGTTACGATATAAAATATGATAATAACTTTTCCTAAAGTTTTATTAATATTACATAACTGTTGTTTTTGTGTAACATTCAATGCTGTAAGCGTGTTTTGGCTGCAGGTGGATGATATCGCCATGGGATGGGACTAGAAAATAAGGTTCCTACACCACTATCTTCTTCATTTTTTCTTCTTTTCCATTTTGTAGAAAACGTATAAGAATAATTTGTTGTAGACATGATATTGGTTTTACACGTGGATACACTCGGGACTGCCTTACCAGATAGGTAACTATATCTAACGCCAATCAATGGAGCAGTCTCAGTACCACCGCTACCAGCCAAACAACCCCGTGTAATGGATACCACTCGTTCTTTTTATTTCTATTTTATTTAACTTTTAGAATAACTTGGCACGAACTCAACGTTTGTTATAATAACATTAATATGGTATTATATAAGAGAGAACAAAAAGCATCTAGATATATTTGTCTGCGATTTGTCTGTGGCCTCATCTGCGAATCCATGATAGCCACAATAAAATAGTGCAAATGGTTAAACATAGTTACAAAACGTGTAGAATTGGTACGTGTAACATAATGTTTATGATGTTATTATCGTGACTTATGTGCGTGTTTAATCTTTCTTTATTTTACAAAACAAAATATGTTATTGGTCGTTCGGTAGAAGAGATGTTTTTATCATCTGGCTAAAACTCCTCGCTCGTAAACCGTGTTTACCGATCGATCAGTTCAAATCTCCAATGACGTTATCAGACGTTCACGCTATTTGTCTGACATTTGTGATTTGTGACTCCGATTTAAAAAAAAATGCGTATCTAGCCATCAAAAATAACTAATTTCTGATAACTTCATGTAATGGAAAATTGATTATAACATGTACTTCATTTTAATCCTGGCCATTTCAATAAAATACACTATGTTCATGAGTTAAATCCACGCCCGCGGTGAGCGCGACACCGTGTTTGAATTTTGGAAGAAGGGCACTGCACCAATGCACCTCATTATCCCTGTTTGGAAATCCGGTTTAAGTAATTATTTCTGTCATTATCACAAACTATAGAAGCTTAATTTTTGTCAAGTTTCAACCGAAGGGTATATTGATATAACACCCATCTCTTCTCGATCGCAACCGTTCCGAACATTCCTTGACGTTTCCACCAGTGACGGTACACCTGTGGGCGTATCCGTACAATAGCGTGACGGTACATATATGGACGTATCCGTACAATAGAGTGACGGTACACATTTGGAGGTATCAGTACGATAGAGTGACGGTACACTTATGGACGTATCTGTGCAATACACTGACGGTACACTTGTGGACGTATCCGTACATTAGCGTCACAATACATTTGTGGACGTATCCGTACATAAGCATGACGGTACATCTGTGGACGTATCCTTACAATAGTGTGACGGTTCACTTGTGGACGTACCCGTACATTAGCCTGACCGTACACTTGTGGACGTATCCGCTCATTAGCACGCCGGTACATCTGTGGACGTATCCTTACAATAGTGTGACGGTTCACTTGTGGACGTACCCGTACTAAAGCGATATGGTACACCTGTGGACGTACCCGTACAATAACGTAACGATGCACACGTGGACGTATCCGTACAATATAGTGACGGTACACCTTTGGACGTATCAGTACTATAGAGTGACGGTACACTGGTGGACGTATCCGTGCAATTCACTGACGGTACCATTGTGGACGTATCCGTACAATATAGTGACGGTACACATTTGGACGTATCAGTACTATAAAGTGATGGTACACTTGTGGAAGTATCCGTACATTAGCGTGACGGTACACCTGTGGACGTATCCGTACTATAGTATGATGGTACATATCCGTACATTAGCGAGAAGGTACACTTGTGGACGTATCCGTACAATTGCGTGACGGTACACTTGTGGACGTATCCTTACAATACAGTGACGGTTCACTT